TCGCCCAACTTTGACAGATCCCTTTGGATCCAATCAGTATGTCAGGTTTCACCTGAAATCAACGGAGTCTCGTTCGTATAGAAGGTAACTTTATTGAAGACATGGATCACTGAACAGGTCTCTGATTGGAATAACATACAATGGCATAGCAAGCAGTATAAAGGGATTTCATAATCAGTCTCATCCAATGAGTCTGATTCCCGCCCTGGTGTCCCAAGCAGGTTTGCACGCCAACTTCATGAGAAAGCAACGGCCCCTTGTTATCTGTAGCTAGCAGTTCACATAGTTTCTTCTAATTAAAACAAAAAGCATAGACACGCCATATCTCGCACCTGTTAACCTTGAGCAGAAAGCGTTTCACTAACAAGCAGTGGCATAACTACTTCTAAGCATGTGCAAGACTCCCTGGGAACTGTAAGCGGGAGGTAGCCGGTGAACTACTGGTGGGGGGAAGGGAATACACCGAATGGGGAATACACATAATGAACATTTGGCAGCTTGCTGACATACTGCCCCCTCGAAAATCAATTCCCACCCTCCAAACTGGCAAAGAACACAGTCTCCCGGCCATTCCGGGAGATCTCCTGGTTAGTCCAGGAGTCCTCCCGGTTTCCCCGGGAACCGTTGTGGAATTTCCTGAGCATGTGAGGGGCCCGAATATCCCCTTCTTCCACCCATTCTCGGTGCTGGGGTCCGATGTCCTTCCACTCAACCAAATAAAACAATTTACCACGTTTTCGTTTGGAATCTAAGATACAATCAATCTCAAAATGTTCCTGGCCATCCAACCAAAAAGGCACAGGAGGTATATTGTCCTTACGCCATTCACAGGATCCGTTATCTTTCTTCAGAAGGCTGAAATGAAACACAGAATGTAACGATCGCAAATTCTTTGGCAATTCAACATCCACAGCTACATCATTGATAATTCTACGCACTTTAAATGGACCAATGAATTTCCAGCCCAATTTTCTACTAGGCCTCAACATCTTGATGTTTTTTGTAGACACATACACAGAGTCCCCAGGCCGTAGAGCCCAACCCGCCACCCTTCCTCTGTCGGCCTGCTTCTTGTAGGCTGCTTTAGCAGCCTCCAGGGTTGTACATAGCTGAGGCCAGGCCTCCTGTAAGTTTTTACACCAAATTGATGCATCCCCCTCCCCTTCCACCCTCTCCGCAGTTAAGAAAGGCATAGGTGGACTATCATAACCATACAAAGCTTTAAAGGGGGACATTCCAATAGACGTATGAAATGAATTGTTGTAACAGTATTCAGCAAGAGGTAATAAGTCACACCAGTCATCTTGTTGATCGTTTGTAAAACATCTCAAATATTGTTCTAAAGTCTGATTGACTCTCTCAGTCTGTCCATCAGTTTCTGGGTGGTAAGCACTGCTGAGACCACGTTCCACACCCATCAGGGTCATTAATTCTTTCCAAAATTTAGAAACAAATTGAGTTCCTCTGTCGGACACCACCTTGTTGGGCAACATATGCAGCCTCACTGCCTGTGTCAGGAATGCTTTTGCCAACATCTTGGCAGTGGGCAAGGAAGCAAACGGGATGAAATGTGCTTGTTTTGAAAACAAATCCACCACCACCCAAATCACTGTTTTTGCTTTGCTGGGTGGTAGGTCCGTGATAAAATCCATAGAGATTATTTCCCAGCGTCTGTTGGGGGTCGTCGGGAGGGGTTTCAGTAATCCAGGGGGCTCCCCCCCCCCCCCCGTGGTTTGCTCTGGTCACACGCTTGGCATGTTTGCACGAATTTAGACATATCTTTCTGCATGCGCGGCCACCAGAATTGTCTTTGTAACAATTGAAGGGACTTAAGAAATCCAAAGTGCCCTGCAGTCCTGGAGCCGTGTGCTGCGTTCATCACCTCCCCTCGTAGGGAGACTGGCACATAAAGTTTCTCATCCTTATACCAGCAGCCATCCTGCCCTTGTTCACACCCGTCTACCCCCCCACACCAGTTCTTTGTCCTCCTCTCCAAACTCCGAGATGAATTGGTTTTCCCAGGGAGAGGGGTTTTTTACGGGCGGTAGAGACGAAGGTTGGGAGGGCGGAAGCTTCGCCGCTTGGCTTCGTGTCACCACTGCCCCTCCCAAGTGGGCTGGAGTGAAAACTGAGTCCAGAATGACCTCACGCTGACTGGCATGTTGAGGGAGGCGTGACAACCCATCAGCTAGCAAATTGGCCATCCCAGGAAAATGGTGAAGGGTAAACTGAAACTTAGAAAAAAAATCAGCCCACCGCAGCTGCTTGGCGTTCAGGCTGCGCAGAGTTTTTAGTGTCTCTAAGTTCTTGTGATCAGTCCAAACCTCAAAAGGAACCCTGGCCCCTTCTAGCCAATGCCTCCACATAGAAAGCGCTAGTTTGACCGCCCCAGCTTCCTTCTCCCACACGGACCAGTGCCTCTCTGACTCAGTGAATTTTTTATACATATGCCAGGGGGTGAAGTAAGCCATCATTCCCCTCTTGCAATATGCCCCCCCCCATCACCACATCGGAAGCATCTGTTTGTACAATGAACTTTTTTGATTCATCCGGGTGTGCCAACACCGGCTCAGATGTAAAGAGAGCTTTCAAGCGCTCGAACGCTTCTTGGCATTCACCAGACCATTGCAACTTAGCTCCCGGTTTTACGGTATCGGGACCCTTCCCCTTGGTTTTTAACAAGTCAGTCAGTGGTAAGCTCACTTGAGTGAAGTTCTTTAGGAAAGGGCGATAAAAGTTGGCGAACCCGAGGGATGATTGTAATTGCCTCCGAGTTCGGGGCGCCTCCCACCCCAGTACATCGTTAACTTTACCCGGGTCCATTTCCAAGCCCTTCTCGGAAATGCGGTACCCCAAAAAGTCAATGTGAGTCTTGTGAAATTCGCACTTAGACAGTTTCGCGAACAGTTTGTGCTTGTGCGTTTGTAAGACTCTCTCACCAGTCTCACGTGAGAGGAGAGATCGGGGGAATAGATAAGGATATCATCAAGGTAAACAAGTACCCCCTTAAACAAATGTTCGTGTAGGACCTCATTTATCAAGTTCATGAATACCCCCGGAGCGCCCTGAAGTCCGAAGGGCATCACTAGATATTCAAATTGGCCCAGCGGAGTATTGAAGGCCGTTTTCGTCTCATCGCCCTCTTTTATGCGCACGCGAAAATAGGCGTCTCTCAGATCCAGTTTGGAAAAAATCTTCCCTTTAGCTGCTTCCGCTAACAAGTCTTTGATCAGCGGCATTGGGTAGGCATTGGTGGCCGACACTGCATTTCAGCCTCGGTAATCCGTGCAGAGTCTTAGGCCCCCATCCTTCTTTTTCCGGAATACGGAATAACACCAGTGCAGCAAAAGGAGAGGAAGCAGGTCTGATAAAGCCTCTTGCCAGGTTTTTATCAATGAACTTCCTCAATTCCTCTTTCTCAGCTGGCCCCATGGCATAGATCTTCCCTTTAGGCAGATTAGCCCCAGGGATCAGTTCAATTGATTATGAAATCCCTTTATACTGCTTGC